CCCAAATTATACCACGGTTATATTCAGTTCATAATTTATCTTGTGACACCAGTACTTTTTCTTTCTTTTATTCCGCTAAATTCTTCAAATTACCTCATCATATCCTTTTTTAATTCTCTTTCTCTTTTTGTTCAATTCATCCTTGATTATGGTTGTTCTGTTTTGTCTTCTTTTTCTGTATGTCTCTCCACTTCACGACATAGGCGATCTGGCTCTCCACAGCCTTCTATCCATTGTGCACCTTAGCATTTTTCTCCCTTTGCTAAGGCTCTATACTCGGATGATAATGAAAAGCAGATATTACATGATAATTCATATATTTCTGTCTCCTTCTGACAATAGGCGTAAAAATATTGTGACATCCAATGATAATATGATAGAACGAAACCTATACAGTCTGTCTCTTCAGAACATTCGATCATGACTCTCCACACCTTTCTATCATTTTGGCCATTAATAGGTTTTCGCTAAGGTTCCATTCTTCTGTTTCGCCATCCATTTACAAAAGTAAACTTCTGTTGTGAGAATCCATTTACAAAAGTAAACTTCTGTAGTGAGAAGGCATACAATTGAGTTCAATATATATTTAATTGAAGCCATAACAAATTATTGAAATTATATAGATTTCGGTATTAAATAATCCTTAGTGGTTGATATGCCTCTGATTACAACCATTCATAAAAATGAACTCCCTCGTGACATTAATGCATAAAATAACATATAATTTCTTAAATCAAACTATAATCCAAAATATGAATTAAAAAAATGAAACACGCATATCACCGCCTCTAGTAGTCATATTCACACAAACTTTTATATGCAGAAAAGCGAAAACATATCTTTATTACTTGAAAGCTCCCAAGAAAATTAAATGAGGCATAAGGTGTCGATAACCAATCAACTAAAGAACTGCTGCTTTGTGGAACATACGCGGGCCATGCTAATTTCCCAATCACTACAATTTTCACCGCTTCAAGTCTAGGGTTAAGAATTATCTCCCCTTCATAGCCTCATGATCTTCACTTCTTGCACTTTTGGGCTTAGAACCACAACACGTAGAAACACCGATTCCTGTACGATCACTAAAGTTAAGTAACGTCGAACTTGGTCAGTGCATAGACGGATGGACACTAGGAATTACCATGTTCTGTAAGTTTGCATGCGCTGATTATGTACTGGATAATGGAGGCACGGTGGAGTAGGAGGCACGGTGGAGTAATGGGTAGCGGCTTGGATTGAGGAATCGGAGAGCCGAGTTCGAATTCCAGTCGGATCCATTACATTCACTTACGTGCTAATACCCTTGGGAAAGGTGTGAATCCACTTTCTTCTCCCTCCAGCTATGGGTAAAATAGCAGGACAGACTGGGTTCTATAGCCTTGGATGGCAACTGGTCTAGGAGAAGGAAAACTGATTCAAAAACCTGCTCTTAGATGAGGGTGAATGGAGTCTCTCTGAGCCTTGGTTGGCAATCCATTTAGTGATGGTGTCACGATAAAAACACCCTTGATAGCCCTAGCGAAGAATTCAGCTATTGACAAGCTTATGAACTACACCAATCAAAGTATTGGTGAGTTCAATCTCGGCTAAGGCCGCAAGATGATGATGTACTGGATAATGGCTCGAAATTGTTAATCGCAGTGGCGAGTTCCAATTCCCGTTGGGTTTGTCCTAATCACTTATGCACAAGTAACTTTTGGGAAAGATAGGAACACGTCTCTTCTCTCCCCAACTATTGGTTAATTCGTAAGGCTTGTATCACTAAAAAAATCTCCCCTAAATAAATTCTTACAATGTAAAATATTTTCCGGCTTTAAATAAACTGTAAATGGTTGATAAGTCTTAAAAAACTAATCAATTCTTGCCATTTCCTACGCTCATACAACAGCACACAGAAACCCTCTAACTTGAGTAGCTCTTGCGCCTTGTACAAGATGAACATTAATATAAAAATATGATTTTCTTAATTTTCTTCTTCATACCTAATCATTGCATTCTTTTACTTACGTGGCATTATTTGAATATTCCATGACGCCATCTTTGTGTATACACATACACTAGGCTGTCTCCATATTTTGAGATGTCAACCTTCCATCTGAAAACTTCATTCCCGTTTTTATTTTTAAACTATTTTATAACTTCACTTTCCTCTTAATTTTCTCTCTCTTAATGTCGCAGGTTAATAGCTCACTTTTTCTTCTCTTATTTCCTTTTCTGCTAATCTTCATTGTAACTTTCTTCACGATCTTCCCAATAATTTCCTCTATTCGTTCGATAGCTCAGTCCATCCGTCGTCTTAGCACAACGCACATTTGTCCATAATTAAACACAGTATCCGACTGCAAAATGTCACGAAGTCAACGGGGGCTTGCGAAGCGACTTAATTTTACCAGTTAGTGGAGAAGGATTCTATTATAACAGTTTTAAGCAAAAGGTCAAATGTCATTATCTCATGCCAAAAATAATACACGAATGAAACAAACTTGATAATAAACGAAGATGTGAAATTCGAACTTGATTTAATAAGTAAAGATTCATGAAAAGCAGAAATCGAAATTGACGATCATTTAGATATTCTGTGTTCGTTAAAGATGAATATTTCAAGGATAGATATTCCAACCCAGACAGGAATTCAACTGCTGACTTCCAAAGCCGTCACATCATTGGTTTGACGATTAACTACATCCGGCAGCAGGGCCTTTAATAGAGAGTTTTTGCCGAGCATGGAACCACCTCTTAATTGCCGTTGTTCTCAGATCCACCCTGACCTTAGGTCGTAGAACCTGTTAGGGTCCCAGCTATGGTCAAATAGTTAAATCCGAAACTTGGGTTAAAATATACTATGAAAGTATAAAAATACAGTTTTATAGTAAAAATACCACCAATATATTTAACCCCAGTAATACATTGTTTAAAAGAAATTACTAATGCACCAAGAAAATTAAATATCAGCATCAAATGGCCCATGAGGAGTTGATATGTTGCTAAACAAAGAAACAAGCCAAAACTGAGAGTTTACATTATTTACGTTATTCGGACTGTTCTCCTCATCTTCAATGCCATATTCACGGCCTTCTTCAGGTGATTGTAATTTCAAATCGAACACTTTATTTCGTCCATCGGGGTAGAAATAAAGAGTTCGGTTTGAAATTCCAATCATATAAAGAAGGCCGGAGCAACAGTCGAAACGTTGTAAATATAGCAGTGGATAACAGTCCGAATAATGTTAATAATCATTTCAGATATATTGGCACGAAACTGACAGGCGGGCTAACGTTAGAATAATGTTGGTGGGTTACATTATGACTATCCACACAACTAATGGGATGTCACTTCCTTCCGGTTATTATTATTATTATTAAAGGGGTTTTTCTCAATTATAAGTAATTTCTCATTCATATTTGCACATTTTAATAATAAATTATAGTCAGATTATCTTTTGAAAAAGTCCTAACGAGTTACAATCATTAGTTCCAGATTTCCACAGTTAAAACCTACCTTGTTAACTAGGCCGGGGACTCATACCGATTACTTTCATATTCCGTAAGTTAGAACTTAATTCCATTCGGCCAATTACTTCCCGTATGATATGATAGTTTTCTAAGTGTGGCTTAGCTGTGGCACGAAGTGGAAAGTATGGTGCACCCAGTGAGAGTCAAACTCTCGACTCAGTAATAGTTGATCTAGTGAGGCAAGCTTGCTCACATTACATCACATTGATGTGGCTAAGCTTCTTATTGATTGACTTTACCTGAAAATAAAATGCGTTTCGCAATAAATAAATGTAACTTAGTAGGTGCATTCGACAATGTTTGGCTCGCTACACAAGCAACCTTTACTCGGAAAACTAGAGTAAATCTCTCTCTCTCTCTCTCTCTCTCTCTATATATATATATATATATATAGCTAGCTAGTTACATTTATTTATGTCAGACGCCCCACATCTATCTATCTCTCTCTCTCTCTCTCTATATATATATATATATATATATATATATATGTTAAGAAATGGACAAGGTCCGACAATTTATTTATTAAAGACATTTTATGTTTAACGTTGTTATTTATAGATACAAGTATTTAAGCAAATGCCCTGTTTATGATAAACAGTATTAAATAACATTTACCGGCCTGAATGCCCGAGAAATTTTTCATAGAAAATATTCGTTCTTTGACAGGATTCGAACCTGCATCCTATACGGAACCGTCATATACGTTGACCTGCCTTAACCTTCTCGGCCACAAAGAACCTTACGGTAGACAAGGTCGACTTTAGTGTTTATAAATTTCAATCTTCCATGAATCTCGTACATTCATAACTGCTCTGGCGTATCGAATGTAAAAAATGACGTCATATGTTAAGAAATGGACAAGGTCCGACAATTTATTTTATTAAAGACATTTTTATGTTTAACGTTGTTATTTATAGATACAAGTATTTAAGCAAATGCTCTGTTTATGATAAACAGTATTAAATAACATTTACGGTAGACAAGGTCGAAATTACTGTTTATAAACTTTGTGGCCGAGACGGTTAAGGCACGTCAGCGTATATGACGGTTCCGTATAGGATGATTCGAATCCTGTCAAAGAACGAATATTTTCTATGAAAAATTTCTCGACATTCAAAATGTTATTAATACTGTTTATCATAAACAGAGCATTTGCTTAAATACTTGTATCTATATTAAATATATATATATATATATATATATATATATATATATATATACACACATATATATATGTATGTATAGCTAGCTAGTTACATTTATTTATGTCAGTCACCCCACATCTATCTATATATATATATACACACATATATATATATATATATGTATGTATGTATAGCTAGCTAGTTACATTTATTTATGTCAATCACCCCACATCTATCTATCTCACTCTCTCTCTCTATATATATATATACACTTACACACACACATATATACATATATATATGTATGTATGTATAGCTAGCTAGTTACATTTATTTATATCAGTCACCCCCACGTCTATCTATCTATCTATCTATCTATCTATCTATGTGTGTTTGTGTATGGGTGTATTTGTACACGCGTTGTGGGGAGCGCAAATTTGAAGATTCCACTCCGCCGTTTTTGACGGCTTTTCTGCTTTCAGAAATTTCAGCTTATCACAAAATGTCCATTGTCATGTGAACCTTTTCGGCTTTCATTAGCCATTAGCAAAATCGCTCAGAAGACATTAGACAATTTGTATTCAGATTCTTCCGAGAAACCGGAAAAATGGTCTGAACCGTAGGAAAATTAAATAAAAAGACATAGGTTGGGTCTTCGGACAAACTAATATAAACGCAATATCTCTCTCTCTCTCTCACTCTCTCTTTCTCCCTCTGTGTCTCTCCCTCTCTGTTTCTCTCTCTCTCTTTCTATATATATATATATATATATATATATATATATATAAAACGTGTAATTAGGAAGCAAAAATTAGTCCAAACAGGTTTTATTGAATAACACCGACAAGGTCTGTCTATTTAACTTTTTATATACTGTTTCGAGCTTCCGACTGAGATGTTCTACGTCAGGAATAAAAATGGTAAACTGTCCGAAGTGCATTTTTTACACAAAAAATTATCTTAGATTATCACTACTGTCCTTATGAAGAACTGCAAGTTAGTCTCTCTCAAAATGAATAACTGCAAGTTAGTCTCTCTCAAAATGAAGAACAGCAAGTTAGTCTCTCTCAAAATGAAGAACAGCAAGTTAGTCTCTCTCAAAATGAGGAACAGCAAGTTAGTCTCTCTCAAAATGAAGAACAGCAAGTTAGTCTCTCTCAAAATGAAGAACTGCAAGTTAGTCTCTCTCAAAATGAAGAACAGCAAGTTAGTCTCTCTCAAAATGAAGAACTGCAAGTTAGTCTCTCTCAAAATGAAGAAGAACTCTCAGAAGAACTGCAAGTTAGTCTCTCTCAAAATGAAGAACTGCAAGTTAGTCTCTCTCAAAATGAAGAACTGCAAGTTAGTCTCTCTCAAAATGAAGAACAGCAAGTTAGTCTCTCTCAAAATGAAGAAATGCAAGTTAGTCTCTCTCAAAATGAAGAACTGCAAGTTAGTCTCTCTCAAAATGAATAACAGCAAGTTAGTCTCTCTCAAAATGAAGAACAGCAAGTTAGTCTCTCTCAAAATAAAGAACAGCAAGTTAGTCTCTCTCAAAATGAAGAACTGCAAGTTAGTCTCTCTCAAAATAAAGAACTGCAAGTTAGTCTCTCTCAAAATGTGTTTGGCAAATACCGGTGGTTTTAATTTGTTCAAATTAAAATTCGAGTCACTTAAAGGTGACGTCAAGTACAACGCTCAAACTTAATTAATACATGCTCTCTTTTTGTATCTGTTTTATAACACTTCAATATACAATCTCCTTCTGACCATGAGACCCGGGTTCGAATCTCACCATGGTCGATTTGTTCAGAAGATGGCTTCCTGATGTTATCCGTCTGGAGAAGGCGATCCCGGCGTGCGGCAAATTTGGGAAGTACCTGATAACCTTACCACGGGTTGACCCAAGCCTTGTTAGTGAAATGAAATAGACTGAACCTTTGGGAGCTGTCGTGGGTTGGGCTAGCACGAAGTCACAAGTCATCGTGACCGAGGGTATAAGAGTTTCATCCCTTGTTGAAACTGTTAATCACACTAGATAACTCGCAGTGTCCCAGAAACTCTAAGTAAGGTACGCTCAACATAGTTGCAGTATAAACCATAGCTGCGCTCTGTGGGTGTTGAACAAACACAAATGTGCCCGAGCAGGAATCTGCAATAAGGATTAGCTAGCCACCCTAGTAGACAGGAATTTTTAGATACGTGTTGTTGCGCCATTAAATGGAGAAAACCTATTCCACGTTGACAGTTTCCCTTGTATTAGAACGGCTTCCGGAATTTTAAGTCTTTGTTTGCATTGAGTCCTATATAATACTTTGGCGTTAATTATTATACTTTGTGAAATCATTCTGATTGTCACCTATTGATGTGTGTGAATTTCAAGTAATTTTGACAAAGGAAAAGGTAATCTACGAGGGAGTGTGGTGAATTTATGGCCAATGTTATATTGATTATATGATTAGAAGTACGTTTTAGTATAGTTTTAAAATTTGGGCGTTGATCCATTTTTACATTCGGCTAGGGAGGTATAGATCCAATTTAGACTAGATTAAAAAAGGTAGACAGGGGTCTGTTTTACACTAAAATATAATAGTAGCGTAGGTTTGTTTTATAATAAAGTCAAAAATATACATATGGGACCGTTTTACATAAACAAGGTAGAGTGAACATGAGCCAAGAAAGAAGCAGAAAGATAAACGGTTCATAATAGATTAAAAAAGGTGGATATTGACCCTGTTTAATTTAGAGTCAAAAAGTAGATATAGATCAGGGTCCTACTAGAGTCAAATAGGCAGACATAGGTCTGGTTGATACTAGATTAAAAAATGAGGTAGACATAGGCCTGGCTGATAATACATTCACAGAGGAAGTAGACAAAATACTGGCTGATACTAGATTCACAAATGAGGTAGACATAGGTCTAGCTGATACTAGACTCACAAGGGGAGTAGGCAGGTCTGGCTGATACTAGATTCAGAAAGGAGGTAGACATAGGTCTGGTTGATACTACATTCACAAATGAGGTAGACAAAGGACTGGCTAATATTAAATTAAAAAAGGATATAGACATAGGTGTGGCTGATAACTAGATTCACAAATGAGGTTGACATAGGTCTGCCTGATACTAGACTCACAAAGAAGGTTGACATCGGTCTTGTTCATACTTGACTCAAAACTGTTAACATGACCCCAGTTTTAACTAGAGCTAAACGGTAGATAAAGATCCGGTTCATACTAGAGTCAAATAAGTAGACATAGTTCCGTTTCATACTAGATTAAACAGGTGGACATAAGACATGTTTAAATTAGAGACGAAAATACTGTTCATACTCGAGTCGAATAGGTAAACTTAGGTCTGGTTCAAACGAGAATCAAAAAGCTAAACGTATATCCTGTTTACACTAGGTTCGAAAATGTAGACATTGATCCAATCCATAATAGACTCAATAAGGTATGCACATGTCTACTTTGCATTGGAATCAAAAGAGAGGCATTCGGCTTATATATACATATATATAATTATATCCAGTTTGCAGTAGAATCAAAAGACGAAAATATTTGATTTCTACTTGTGTCAAAAAAGTTAGAAATTTTCCGTGTTCATAACCAAAAAATAAGTTGTCCAATTTATTTTGAGGCTGGGTCGTCAGTGAATGCAGTCGACGTATCCTATTTTCAGCCGACAGGAGAAAAGACAGAGAACAAATTTTTATGTCAAAAGAAAAAGCTTAAAATTAATAAAGACTTAGCAGCTATATCTCAAAATTTTACAGTTGAAATTGTCAGGTGTCACCGTAAGTCCTATGCTTGAAGTTTCTTCTCTGGCATTTCTCATTTGTCGTATTTTCTTGTCAACTTTCCAGTCAGCTTTGATCTTTTAAAATTTAAATGCAATGTCAGTGGTAATCTTTTGTCCTATTCTTTTACTTTTCTCTCACCTTAGTGGCTTAATCACCTTCCTTGGGGTGAAATTATTAAAAAAACAAATAATATTACAATATAAAGCAAGTTTTATGTTTTAACCCCAACGTCATCTTTATGAACAGTATAAATAACAACACCAGAGAAAAAGTACTCTCGAGTGTATTAATTTCATTATTAGAAAATCAATTCGATTTTTAACGTTTTAACTGATGCAAAATTTGTCCATTTTCTCTCTACTTTATTCTACTCATGACAGGAAAACCCAAGACAATTAAATCCACACTAACACAAAGCCAGTTTACAAGGATAAAGATTTCCTTGCGATAAATCTTTTTCCGCACTTACCAATTTCGAATAAAGTATTACGATATGAGATAAAGGCACAATCGACGATAGTTTATATCGGTTTTATGAAATTCAGATGACAGGAGCGGGTCGTATTAGTAGAGCCAAGTCTCTAACTCAATCGAACATTTACGTAACGGTCTATTTCTGAAACGAGGAAAGCTTCCATTGTCTTCTGGGGATTCACCATACGCTACCTTTGCGGATTCTCGCTCTCTTCATCGAGACGTTTCAAAGCGTCGCTGATAAAATCTGTCCATTAATGCAGGCTTAGATTAATGGCCGTTTGATGTTGCCAGCAAGATTAGGAGCATAATTACCGCCAGCAAATAATATGTGCGCATATGCCGACACATGCCTACGAACGCACAGGCAGTAACACGAATAATTATAGTGAAGCCATACAGTAAGGTCGATTTAATCATTGGCCAGCCGGTGGTAGCGGGGAGTGTGACAATGCCACTCAAATATCCTTGTCTTTATACGACCCAACACTAACAACTTCTTCTCTTGTCCGCCAGGTTAACATAACAGGATCTCCCTAGATAACATACTCGAGTTTACATAAAATCTTAAAAGCTAGCCGCTGGTGTTACGGAAGAGATCTTATACATTTGTATTAAGCAAGTAGTAATGGAAATGTTAATTCTATTTTCCAATCACTGCAAATTATCTGATGAACTTCTTTTTAGTCATTGGTCTTAAGTCTCCTTTTGAAAGTAATATGGCTAGTTCCCCTTAAATACAGCACATTTTCACACACACAAAACACACACACATATATATATATATCTATATTGTCTACTACTAATCTCTCTCTCTCTCTCTCTCTCTATATATATATATATATATATATATATATATATATATATATATATATTAAGTCGACTCCCCATGAAAGATTATTACTCTTAGAAAACACGATTTTAAAACCCATGCTAAATTCACTATAATTGAGAGAATAGAAAAGTTCAGACCAGATAACATTAGAAAGATTTTAAAGTTCCATGAAAATAAGTGGATATGACGTTTAATAACGCCTTATCCTTATAACCACACAAAAATCATATATATATATATGTTTATATTTGATTTGTAACCTGTAGTCGATATTAAATTTGTCAAATTTTCTCAATTACACAGCGGCCCTTCCAGTAAATGTCGTTCAAGTTTACTTTCCTTCGCCCCATCTCTCTCCCCCACCTCGTCTTTCCCTCCCTCTTATTCTGATCTTATGGTGTGTGTATGTCACCACGAAATGTATCTTTATGCATTAGACATCCGACAACATTCATTTTTCTCTTACTTAAACCCCTTCTACTCACCTCTCCTAAAATTCTCCCTGTTAAGGTTTAATCTCCCCACTTCTCTAGTATGTTACCCCTCATACTTACACTCTCTCTAAATTCTGTTTTTATTTCCGGAGTGGTTTTTTCTGTTTTCTTTTTGAATTTGTAGGTCTGATGAATTGGATCGTATTTACGATTCCAATGGAATAAATTATGACCATGGAATATTAGTGTTTAAACCTTTTTATTATATATATATATATATATATATATATATATATATATATATATATATATATATATGGATACCTTGCAGATCCGTTTAGATGAAACCTAGGTAGGTTGTTCCTGGCTCTTTAGAGTTTATTTAATTTATCACTTCTTTACTGAGCGTATTGAGCACTGTACTTTTTAGCTTTATTGCTCGCTTGGTTTTTTTTTCTCTTTAGACTAGAAACTTAAGGCAATGGACGATTTATTTCGCCCTGTTGGGATGTTTCTAGTTCTTTCTTTTTCTTCGAATTTTCTTCCTCCGGTATCAATTTGTTGTGATAGACTTACAAGTTGTGTTATCAGAGCTTTTTTCTAACCAAGTATTTTTAGTAGTAGTAATAGTATATATATATATATATATATATATAAAAATTGGATACTGATGTCAATACTCAGAGGCGACAGTCTGTTTCATGCTAAACTCAACTGTCAGGCCATGTGCATTGTGTTTTTGTTCGTATATTTATATACAAGTCAGTGATACAGTGTGGGCAGTTTGTTGTCTACTGTAAAATCGGCTGATAACAAAGAAAAATAAACATAGGCGTAACTGAAGGACCCTGGAAACAAAATCTACGCACACAAAACATCCTTAGCAAATAGTAAATATGCGAGCGACACAATATTTTCTAAACTTATCTGAAG